GTTCTAGAATGTTCTACTTTGATCGAGGCTTATAATAATAAGTAAATAATAACAAAAATGATGCAATGCATTCCAGAATATTCTTACACAAGTAATACATCAATATATTTATACACAACTGCAGGATCTCAACTGTCTCTCTTACTATTGACAACACAACAAATATAACCGTACTCACTCTTGATCTGTTCTATTCATTCTATTTTATTTTCCTATGTCAGTTGATATTAATATTGAAGCGGGACCTTCTCGGAAGGGACCCACTGGTCGGGAAGGTTGTGGACCCCAGGACCGACCTGATTATCATCAAACTTTTGGGGCCTCAATTGATGCCACCGCGGTTGCTGAGTGGATTGGCATTTTTCACACTTCATTTTTCCAACATTCGCGACCCGAGGTCCAATTTTCCTTCTGTGGAGCACCATCTATTATACCTCTTCCCCCGACCTCTTACTACTATCTGAACTTCAACTGACCAAAGCAGCTTCACCTAAACCTTTTCAAGTCTCCAACTACAACCTTTATACCTCTTTCCGTTCTAAGGGAGGTGTTTGTGCCTACTGCAACACACCTACACCTATAGCTTGACTCACAGAACTTGAATCTTCCCTTTATGATGTTATCTGGCTTAAATTATGCCTACCAACTATGACTATTTTCCTTTATTTCCTATACTGTTCTCTCAACTCTACCAACTATTTAGAACTCTTCGACTATCTCACTTCTTGCCATGAGTCGTTGCTATCCACTCACCCTAACACTGAGATCCTCTACCTAGGGGATTTCAATGTACATCAAAGAGAGTGGCTTGGCTCTGCAAGGGATGACCCAGGTGGAGCTGAGGCACTCCCTTTTTCCTTATTTAATGATCTGGAACAAATATATTCAAACACCCTACACTCGTTCCTGATCGACACTATCAACTTGTTTTACCTCACAATCTTATTTCTATTAAATCAAACTGGGCACGACCACCTCCCCACCCCCTTCTAAACATCAACTATGGCACTATTGGATGGCAAACTGGCAATCCTTGCGAGAATTCTTCACCGACTTTCCTTGGGATGAATGTTGCTTTTCCACTCGGGACGCTTCGGTATGTGCTGACAGCATTGCTGGGGTTATACAGGGTGGTGTGAGTACATTTATCCCCTCTTCTACCAAAACTTTTACTTTACAATCATGGTTTGATTGCTCCTGCTTTCTTGCATGCAGGGAGAGAGATAGGGCATATCAAGCTAAGAAACTATCTCCTTCTCCTATTACCAACTCCTCTTTCATTACTTCTAGGAATCGTTGTAAGGGTCTTCGTGGGGCCAAGCGGAATTAAAAAAAAAAGACAGCTGTCCTGACTAATTCTTCCTCTAGTATATCCTTCTGGTCCTTAACCAAAAACATCTGTAATAACTTCTGCATGCCTTCTCTTCCTCCTCTCTTCTGACCTGATAACTCTATAGCCCTCCCCCTGACAAAGCCAATCTCTTCGGCACCTTATTCTCCTCTAATTCCACCTGAGACGATTCCAACTCTACCCCTCTTACCCCTGCTCCTCCTACTGATCCTATGCACTTTCCTATAATCTCCATTTGGAGGGTTACTGGTGTGTTATCCAGGTTGGATGTGAGAAAGGTGCATAGACCAGACGAAATACACCCTTGTATTCTGCGGGAGTGTGCTGAAGCTCTGGCCCCTGTGCTTGCTCGCCTCTTTTGCCTTTGCCTCAAAACCCAAACCTTTCTTTCTTCTTAGAAGCATGCCTTGTTCACCCAAAGAAGGGTGACCAAACTAATCCCTCTAAATATCAACCCATTGCCCTAACTTCATCTGTAAAGGCCTGGGACTTAGGGATAGAAATCCCTTACCAGGCTAATCAGGATCTTAATATAGGAAAGTCAAGGACCATGGTTTTCCGAGGAATAACAAACAACCGTTAGAGATTGGCATCTCTTTACTATAAAAATATATCACAAAACTCTGACACCACTCAACAATCATCAAATAATTACGGGAGTCAAACAATTAATGGAAGCAACAATTAAAGGAATCAAACAAATAATGGGAGTCAACAATTAATGGATTCAAACAATTAAATGGAGTCAACAATTGATAGAATCGAACAATAAAGGGGAGTCAGCAATTAATGGAATCAAACAATGAACAAATATTTCCTACGGCAGTGGCCCTGGGGGAAGGTTCTGGAACGCGGTGATGCACACTCAGGGCAGGGAAGCGTCCACTTCGCTCCACACTCAGCAACGTCTTGAAAAGGCAGGAGAACACCGGGGCACCGACGGAATGTGATGAACTGATGGTCGTGGTATGCGGTAGTGGTAGATGACCAGAGAGTTGGCAGTTGATAGGTGAAGGTCTGGGAACACAGCCCACGAGTCCAGGACCTATGATGAGATCACAGCCAGAATTTGACGGACAGCAGGGTAGCTAGATACTGACGGTATGGCGGCTGGGTTGAATCTGCTCGTGGCGGAGAGGGTTGCTGCCGTTATCACCTCCTTCCAACCACCCCAAGTGTCGTATGCACCAGCAAACGAGCGAGTTAGCAGCGGTAACTAGCCGGAGGATCGTTTCTGCCCTTACATCATCCCTCTCTAAGATTTTTTAAACTATCTTGAACTCCCATTTTCTCCGTCACCTTGAACGCCTTTCTCTTTTGTAGGATCATCAGTATGACTTTCGCCAGGCGAGATCTACTGATGATCTGCTTTCCTATTACACCCATCTTTGGTCATCCTCTCTTAGGGATTACGGGGAAACTTTTGTCGTGGCCCTCGACATCTCCAAACCATTTGACAGGGTATGGCACAAGTCTTTGCTCTCTAAACTTCCCTCTTTTGGTTTCTCTCCCTGCTTTCTTTTCTAATCTCTAGCTTCCTTGAAAACCGATCCATGGCAGTTGTTGTCGAGGGATCGATCTCTCGCTCTTTCTCTACCAATAGAGGTGTCCACAGAGTTCTGTTTTTCACTTACTCTCTTCTTTCTTTTTATGAATGATTTACTTCACGCTACAACTAATTCTATCCATTCTTACGCTGATGATTCTACTCTTTACTCTTCTTCACATTTTCCCCTTTCCCCTAACTCTCAAACTAGATCCGTTTCCAGAGCTGATATCATTACATTTATCAATGTTGGTCTGTGCAGCATCGGGGAGGTAGAAACTTGGTTAAATTCGATATTAATAAAACTCAGTATTTACCAATTACACTTTCCAAATTAGATGATCTCCCACCAATTACATTTCAGGATACAATCATTCTGCCAAATTGTAAAATAGATATGCTAGGCCACACATCCTCAACATTGCTAAAGCTGCCTCCCGAAAGCTGGGAATACTGTACAGATGCCGTAGCTACTTCACTCCTGAGCAGTTGCTTCAAGCATAAAAGGGATTCATTCATACTAACTTGGAGTACTGCTCTCATATCTGGGGTGGCTCTTCTTCTGTCCAACTGTTAGATAGGGTGGAATCAAAGGCATTTTGTCTTATTAACTCTCCTCCTTTAGTTGATAAATCTTTCTTCCCTTTCTCTTCGCCAGTGTTGCTTCACTTGCTCTCTTTTACACGTACTTTAACGGGCAATGTTCAATGGATTTGGCATCCTGTGTACCACCGGCAAAGCTGTGGGCTCGTAACTCACGTCTTGCCCTCGGTGCCCACCATTTCTGTGTGGATGTCGGTCACACTAGAATAACCCATTATAGTGCATCCTTCTTTCCTCACACAGCCAAACTGTAGAATGCTCTGCCTTCTTCTGTGTTTCCATACTCATACAAACAGTCTCACTTTAAAAAGCTGGTTTTCCGGCATCTTCGAGGTGTAGATTAATATAACCATTTCCTATTTTTTTTATTTCTTTCCATTCTTATTTTTCCCCCCTAGGCCCCGCTGTGGGTCATTGACCTGTGCTCGGGTGACACATTTGACAGTTGGGGCTGAAGGTCTAGTGAAGTATTTATTTGTTTATTTATGTGCTTTAGATTGAGTTTTTGTTTTTTGTTTAAAAAATGTCACAGAAGTGACCGGGGAGAATATAATTTACATTGCTGGAATTCTAATAAGATAGTGATTAATTTGAATACAGTATAATCATGTTATAGTTTACACTAGACAAAAATTTTAGTTATCATGTAGTACATTATTTTGAGTACATGTACAGTACAGCTTTGTCCTTAGGATAGTGTAGCGTGCCAAGAGAAACATTAGGCGCGAATTTTAAAATATGATGCGCCAGATTGACTCATGCAAAATAGGAAAGATTCGCTTTAAATTAAAACATTGTCCTTAATTGTGGGTGTCGCTTTAAATCAATAATCTTAAATTGAATCGCTTTAAATCGACGTTCTACTGTACCGTACAAAGTGTGTACAGTAATGTTGCTCAAAATTACTGTATAGGTTTTTCACATTTAGAGACACAGGAGGTGTATAATTAGTGGGTCAGAGGCATACTGTTGAATTATTATTACCTGACTTCTATTGGTCCGGCAAAACGGATAATCCGGCAAGGAAAATTGGTGGTGGACCTGTACTATTGTAAAAATTTATCTTTAGGTTCAATACCAACCACCATAAATGGCTATCAAGATACATAAATATAAAACTATACAGTTTTTTATAAGCTGACTGTTAATATTTGACAGAAAGGAAAATGTGTGCGTCAATACGAGTAAGAATGTACAGTACAGTACAGTACTCTCACTGGTTCGTACATATAAATGTTTTCGATGACGATATATTCATCATCAAATAAGATATTCAAATATGAAATAATACAGTTTTCAATGCCTAACTCACATGTATACAGAAATGAGCAAAATTAAAGTCATATGGCAACTATGGCTGAACAAGGGACACCTGTACAGTACCACAGTCTATGCTACCTATCTTCTATGTATCCATAAAGTGGATTATACTTTCACCAGCTTTCTCTTGCACATTTCATTTTTCTCTGTCTCTTTAATTCCAGAAAATTGTCAACATACTGCTTCAATATCCATCTTGGTTGCAATACTGGTAAGGTCCTGCAGAGACCTGAGGTAGTACTTCATATCAGGACGTGTGTGAGTCCAATGTGAGCCCAGTATGCGTACACGAACACCTCTCTCCATGGCAGCAGCACGTAGACTGTCATCAATGACAGGCCAAAACCTGAAAATTATTTAGTTACTCTTATGTTATTCATCACATTTAAAATACAATTCAAAACCAAAAACAAAAGTGCAAAATAAAAGTAAAAGAAATAGTGGAAAGTTCCTTAGTTTCCTCTGGATTCCTTCCCATACAGGTAATGTTGTTCATGACAATGTAGATAGTCTGGCCATCCAACATCCAAGACATCAAATATGTTCTTTAAACTCTTTAAAAATAAGTTGAATAGTGCTGCCCTCAGAGAAATCAGGTAGCATGTGATAATTACTTATTCAACATTATGTTAATCATGTAACAATAATATCTCCCTTAGCCTGAATCCCTCAAACCTGGAAATCTCCGATAGCCAAAATTGAAATTTGCTCGAAAAATCATTCCCAAAGCCGGAATTTTCCAAAAATTTCCGGCCTTAGGAACAAATTTTCCGAGGTTGAAAATCGAGAGAATTTTCTGAAAATGTCTTGCATCAAGATCAAAGTTAAAACTTTTTTGGGGGACCTGACTCAATGTCAGATGGAGGTAGGGTGAGGGATTAGTGTTCTCATATTACTGACCTTCTGATGGAATGTCAGGTCACCCTTTCTTGGGTGGGGGATTAGTGGGTCTCATGACCTGAAGATGTCTTGAATAAACACAAAATAAAGTATTTTTAGGGAGATTGTCATAAGTACAAGAATAAATGAGCAAATTTGTATCCCTTCAACATTACATTACATAACATTTTAAAATATGGAGTGAGAAAGTAGAAATGTGCGGGTGATTAGAAAGATGGAATGGAAAGGAGTGGTAACATACACCAGTGTTGCCAAGCAATAAGCTCCTCAACAGCTCATCTTTTAATTCACCTTAATGCAGTCACACAACAAGACTCTCACTGGATGCTTGTTGTCTTAATTCTCATGTGTGTGTGTGTGTGTTTTGAGCTTGCCAAGCACATTGTAGGATTTGAAGAAGTTGATGAAGAGTTTGTTCAGGAGTCAGGTGGTGAGGGGGCATGCCAAGACACAGCACACACATTAACAGCACTAATTAATAAACCGTTGTCTTATAACATTTTACATTCTAATTTCTATTTTAAAATTAATTGATACATGGCAGCTTGACAGGGCTACTTTTGCACTTAAACAACTCATCAATGAATAAACTGGGCATATGGAGACTCATTATACATTAGTGATGTTACAAAGCTTTGAAACTGAAACCACATAAATTATCACAACCTGTACTCAAATGTATAGTACAGCTCCTCCCTGACTTACGCCCACCCGGACATACGACCGCCCCAGTCGTACCAAAATTTTGTCAAATTACGTATTTTCGAGTCCCAACGTCAGTGATTACGCTGTGTACTGACAAAATTTTCGTTTGTAATTCACTTTAAAATGGCTAGTAAGCTTAAAAGTGAGAGTTCTGTGGTGCTGAGAAGAGAAAGAGACACCCATTTTAGATTTTCTATGTATTATTTAAGCATTTTCGACTTACGACTTGGATTTGGGTCCCTAACCCTGTCATAAGTCGGGGAGGAGCTGTACTAAGTAAATTACTAAAATTATTAAGTATGGTGCAAAATAAGGGACGTTTATACTCAAATTAATCGGTACCTTACAAGAAATTTAGCAATGTAAGTTATATTCTCCTAAGTCAATTCAGTGCCATTTTATAAGCAAAATATTAAAAGCCCTCTGCCTTCCATAATCCGAGTACTGGCATCTTCTGAGACCTTCCTCCTAGAGAGAAGGGTCTATTAGTAAAGTCCCGCAACATCCCAAAATGGCTAATTCCCCTGTGTGTGTGTGTGTGTGTGTGTGTGTGTGTGTGTGTGTGTGTGTGTGTGTGTGTGTGTGTGTGATGTGTGTGTGTGTGTGATGGTGTGTGTGTGTGTGAGGTGTGTGTGTGTGTGTGTGTGTGTGTGTGTGTGTGTGTGTGTGTGTGTGTGGCTGTGGAGTGTGTGTGTGTGTGTAATAATAATAACACTAACTAGTTTATTAAAAGAGCTTGGCAGCCAGAAGGCTGAAAATATGCTGCTACATAATTGGGGGAATGGGTTTGATTTAATACAGTGAGACTCGACTCATTTACTGTTTACTACTTAATCAGCCATTGTTAGACCAATTTTTTTTTCAACTTTAATATACATATTTATGATCAAACGTTTCCAGTTAATGTAGTCTCCATGTATAATTAGAAAATTATGGGGGCCCCATGTGCATTCAGCTGATTACATTAAAGGTAAGTGCTCAGTCACACTGTATCCATTCCTCATTATTTATTACTTTCACTGTACTACTGTATCCATTGCTCATTATTTATTACTTTTACTGTACTGTATTTCATTGTAGATTTTTTATTTAATATTTTTTTTTTTTATCTATGTCGGACTTACGACCATTCGGACTTACGACCTGGATATGGGTCACTAACCCTGTCGTAAGTCGGGGTCTAGCTGTAATATACAAATAACCTAAGTGATACAGATAAGATATATAATAACTAGATGGGGAAAAGCTCAAACTACAGGGCATTTCAACATAGTGACAGTGCAAAAAGTAAGATTTACTGGGAGTGAATACACAGGTATATTACAAGTTACTGTATTGATAATTTTTACAATGGTTGGGACTGGGCTGTTCTTATAGCGATCAGTTCGTGCACGTATGGGCTGGATGCGGTTGTGGTGTCGAACATCAATTCTCGGGCGAGGGATCTCAGGTGGTAGTAGGAGCTGGTGTCGAGGATGGTGCAGAAGCTTCTCACCAAATTTGCAGATGAGGTCGTGGTGATGGTCAGTGAGAGCCGAAAGGGTCAGTGTGTTGAGCGCTTTTTGATATGTGGAGTAGGAAGGGGAGAGAATAATCTTGCATGCCCTCTTTTGTACTTTTTCTAGGTGTTTACATTGTGTGGCATTTACAGAGGAAGGCCAGGTAGGGGAGGCATAGGTGAGCTTGAGAAGTATGAATGTTGAGTAAACACTGAGGAGCTCGGGTGCAGGAACTCCGAGGGACTTGAGTCGACGGAGGAGGTAGAGACGGAAGCTGGAGGATTTGACAACTTCACTGACATGTGGTTTCCAATTCAGTTTGTTGTCTATGGTGACGCCGAGGGGCTTAGTGGAATCTACAACCTGGAGTGTGTTGGGACCTAAAGTAATGGAAGGGGGTGGGACAACGTTGGAGAAGAGATTGATGTGCATAACCATAGTCTTGGTATGGTTGATGGTGATGTGGTTGTTGGTGGCCCAGTTTTGTAGACTGTTCAATAAATCCTGAAAGGCAGCAAAGTCGGGAGCAGAATTGTTGAAGCTGATCCCCAAGGTGTAGTCGTCAACATATTTCCGGCGAGCAGGGGTTTCTCGTAGGGCATCATTGATAAGCATAAGGAAGCATAGTGGTACCATCTTGGTGCCTTGGGCGACGCCACAGGTGATTGACTGAAAGGTGGAGACAGCCCCTCGGAAGCGTACAGCTTGGCATCGGTCACTGAGGAAGTCTGTAAGCCATGGTATAAGACTTCTTCGAAACCCGAGGTCGATAGCTTTGTTGATGATTAAATTGTGGTCGACTCGGTCAAATGCTTTAGTGAAGTCAATGAAGGCGACAGCTACAGACGTTTTTCTTTTCTCCAGATGGTGGTATATGTAGTTGAGAAAGCTGACAAGACAGTGAGTGGTGGAGGAAGTTTTCATATTACCAAATTGCTGAGGATCTACGGCTCCTGCAATATCAGCATAAAACAGATTAAGCTGGGTATTGGGGTGATTGCAATGGGTCACAGCTGATTTAAGGGTTGTGGGCTGGTTGAATTGGGCACTGGTGATACATAAGAAGTCTTCCAGTCAGCAGGGAATCTGGCTTGACTGAGAGAAGCATTGATGATGGGGCAGAGGGGTTTAGCAAGTTTCGGGGAGAACTCCTAGAAGAGTTTCATTGGTAAGTCAATGGGGGTGGTGGAGCGTTTTAATTTTAGTTTGTCCAGACGTTTTGCTACTTCAAATTCTTCTACTAAGTCAGTGGGAAAGGGGGCTGGTAGATAAGCAGGGAGATTGGTTGTGTCAAGCCGGGGGAGCGTCTGGCATATAGTAGCGAAATGGTTGTTTGATTGCTCAGCTGCGTCAACATTAGCGAGATGGTTAAGGAAGGGGAGGGGGTGTGTCTTATTGTTTAGTCCACAGAGTTCTTTAAGCTTACCATACCATTGACTGATGTTGGTCTGCTTCAGGTGTTGCAATTTGGTTGAGTAGTGAGACTTCTTTGCAGTGCGTATTTCGCGGATGACTCGGTTGCGAAGGGACCTGTAGCAGTTGTGGTCATTGAGATAAAAGGCTCTGTCTCTCTGTTGCATAAGTTTTCTGATCCGAGGTGTGATCCAGGGCAAATCAGCAGAGTGAGATCTGACAGACTTCTCTGGGAAGAAGTGGTGGTGAGCTTCCGTGGTGAAGTTGGTATAAATTATCCATTTGGTTTCCACGTCATCCAACGCTAAGTACTTCAGTCCAGGGATGGTGAACTATCCACTGCCCGAAGAGATGCACTGCAGATTCAGTAATCGGCCTGTAGGTCTTGATGTAGGGTCTTTGTACATGAATGGGAGTGGCAGCTGGGGACCAGAGCACTGATAGGTGTGTGCTACACTAGATAGGAGGTATTGGTTGAGGTGGTTGGTACTGGTCCGCTAAGTCGATTAAGATAAGGTCAAGGGTATTTTGACCATGTGTGGGGAAGTTCACAACTTGTGATAGTGATATCAGTGGTGTCAATTTCATTACAATCCCCGCATAATACAGTACTCCCTCTTTATCGACGGGGGTTACGTTCTGTAGACGGCCGTCGATAAAGAAACCGTCGATACCGTGATGGTTACGTAATTTTTCTAACTATTATTAGCATATGTTGAATAAATGTACCTTTAAGCATTAATGCGTTTCCTTTACACATAACCTTAAATAATAGTGTATAAATAATAATATAATAAGTGGACAAAAATACTAGCAAACTTACGATTTC